GAGCTCTTCCTTCCCCCAGCCCTCTCCCATCCACACTGGGATCCCACCACCACCCTGCAGAGCTGCTTGGAGCAGCTTGGAGGGAATTTGGGAGCAGCTCTCCCCAGGGCTGGCAGCCCAAAGCAATCCAGGGTGGATGGCTCCCAAACACAGGGAGCCAGGAAGCCAAAGGAAGGCTGGAGCTGGTCCTGCTCCAGGGAAGATGGACAGGGAGCAGCTCCTACGAGGTTCAGGGCAAGTCTGAGCCTCTGGGTCTTGATTTCCCTTGGGATACAATGGGACATCCCAGGGAACAGCAATGGGATACAGGGAGGCTGCTCTGGGAGGGCTGGACTCATCCTCCCTGCTCTGACCTCCTTACCTTGCACTGCACTGGGTGCCACAGCCACACCGGGCCTGGAATGCGGCTGGAAAACACCAAAATCCCCCCAAAACTGGCAGCAGCTGGGGGTCCCCGACTTGGGGGAAGCCACCAGGCCGTGGCTAAGCCGACAGTGCCACCTGCTGCCACCACACACCCGGCCCTGTGTCCCTGTCCCAGGGCCTGAACCAGCCCCAGGGCTCCTTTCCCTCCTTCCAGGCTTCTCCCAACTTCCCTGCAAAGCCCCCCCCCAACAAACCCACCCCGGGTTGTGGGACCCCCCTCATGGTGGAACACGAGACACCCCCAGAGAGCCTGCGAGTCAATTCGATTTTTTTATTATTAAATATACATCCTCTCTTGGCACAAATCTTAAAATATATAAACATTATATATATATAACAAAGTGTCTTCACTGCAATAAAATAGAACTCCAGATCCAAGAAAAGCAGTCAAAATCCACACACACACACACACACACTCACACACACTGATGGTGAGGACACAAAAGGCATTTTAACAGTGTTTGTGCTAATAAATGCATAGACCACACAGGCAGTGAGCAGTGCTGGGAAAACCTGCAGGGCATGGCATTCCAGGGGGGGACAGAATGGGAGGAAACAGCCCCTACAAGATCCAAAAAAAAAGGCTGTTTTGTAGGAAGGCCACCTCCTCCTCCGGCCCAGTCCAGGTGGGGAGAGCCCAGAATGTACCCCCAGCTCTCTGAGGAGCCCAGGAACCCAGCCAGGAACCTGGGAAGTACCTGCAGAGCTCAGGAACCCAGTCAAGCACTGGGAAGTACCTGCAGAGCCCAGGAACCCAGTCAGGCACTGGGGAATCTCCCTGGGAAGGATCCCAGCACATTCCCTGCCCGCCCGGGACCGGCACCAGCCTCGCTCGGGGTTGCCACGTCACCTCTGCTCAAAGTCTCCTTTCATCTGCTTTTGGGCTAAAAGACAAGAGGGTGAAGATGGTGCTCGAGTCCTTCCAGGTGGAAGGCAATGGGAAGTGCCCCAGGAAGTTATGGAGCTGCTCCTGGAGAGCTCCCAGGGAGCCCCACACCGCCCATCCTGGGAGGCTGGGACTCCTCTCCCAACCCTCCCACCACGGTGCCACCACCCTCCAGCCACGCCTGGCAAACAAGAAGCCAGCTCAGATCCCGCCTCCCACATCCTCAAGTGACCCTCTGAGCTTCCCAAGCTCTTCCCAAGGAGGCACCTTCCATCCAGCAGCCACTCCCAGGGAGCAAACGGGGCATCCTTGGAGGTACCGCGAGGAAACAACACAGAGCAGCAGCAGCATCTCAGCTCCTTAAGGGAAGGGCTGGGACAAGGGAAGGTGCTAAACTGGACAACAAACTTCAAAAAAAACCCCTTTCCTTCCCATCACTCAGTGCCTGTAAGTTCTTGTCCCCCCCAGGAGCACTGAGGCCTGTGAGGGGGGGACGGGGTCGGGCTGTTCAGGCGCCGCTGGAGAGCTGCAGTTTCGTCGGTTTTGGATGCATTTATTGGACCTGATTTTCTCGAAGTGCTAGTGCAGGGCTCAAGGTGCAGAAGCAGGAGGGAGGGAGAGAAGGGGGGGGAAGGAAGAAGCAGGAATTCCTGCTTGGCTGTAACGCGTTAAAGGAACGGCGGGAAACGCGACTCGGGAATCAAAAGCAATTTGAGGAGAACGAAATGAAAAACTGGGGAATTGCAGCAGTAGCAAAGAAGTTCTAAAGAAAAGAAGGAGTAGAGGATATTCCTGTTCGACTTGTCTCCTTTCTCAGGGCTAAAGGCAAAGGACCTTCTTGGTCAGCACACAGAAACCCCCCTTCCCAAAGCAGGACACCTCATTCCAGGCAGCAGAGAGATCTGGACCGTGTCTCAATTCATGCAAGGAATAAGAGAAGGGAAGAGAACACTCTGTTTCTCCTTTTCTACATTCAAATCAGAGGAAAGAACAAAAAAAAAACCCCCCACCCCCACTATTTAAATCAACCCAAAGCAGTAACACACAGTTACTTCAAACACTTCTGCCCAAGAAACAAAAGCACCAAAACCACCCCGGACTGAATCCAAAGCTCTGTCTCTGAGCAAACACTCAGCCTGCAGAACTTGGAAAAGCAGGTTTGGCTCAAATTCCACTGAATTACAATCAGGTGCAGCTGCTAGCTTAAGGAACAACTTCTCTGGGCCCAGTGCTTCCAAGTTTGGCTGTGCTTGTTCCTCAGCTCCAGGTCCTGGCTGCGAGGGGGGGGTTCCAGGCTCAGCCTCTTCCAGGGGATTCCCATCCACTCAATCCACTGGCTGCACTCCTGACAGGGCAGAACATTCCCTGTGCAGATCTGCCCTCCCATTCACTCCCAAACAAGGGGCCAGTCACCCAGGAAATCCTTTCTCAGCAGGAATTAAAGCACCTCTGTGGCCACCTCAGGGGTTCAGTGACGCTCTGGGATGATCCACTAATTCCACGGAGCAAAGGAAGCAGCTCCAACCTGGATGCCACAGTCCAGCTTCTCCTCCTCCTCCATCCATGGCTGTGCAGAAAGGAAGGAGCTGTCCAGGCTGGGAGGGGACACACAGACACACAAACAACTGCTCACACGCCTGGGAAGCAAGGATTTCCTCACCGGGCCGGACAAGGGAAAGACAAGAGCGGGATAATCGGCTTCTCCATTGGAGAAAAGAAATCAGGAGCTCTTGCAAGGACCGAGCAAAGCTTCACCCGAGGGCAGAGAAGAGCTGAGAACACCTTCTGTCAGCAGCAGGAGCAAAGGACACCCACCCAGAACTCAGGGCTCTCACCCCCCCCACTGACAGTTCTCTAATCACAGATCAGGGGCTGCAGCCAAGGGATGCACAAATCACAATTTCTGGGCCTGGAGGCAGAAGTTGCTGAGGTTTGACACCCAGCCAGTAAAGTCTGGTCCGTCCCAGCTCTGGGAACAACATGTTAACACCTCAGTGTGCTGGCTCTGGGCCACGGCCACAACGTGCAAGTGGAGGTGCATTGATTCCTAAGGAAATATTTGGCATTAGAAGCAAGTTCTGCTCCAAAGAACAAGTGCAAAGACAAAAGAAAGGAGAAGGCTGCCTCTACCAGCTGTGCAATTACCTCCATTCCCATTAATCCGTGATACAAGGCTCAAGCTACAACAGCTGAAGTGCAAACACCAGGAAAGGACAGATTCTAATTTATGCCTTATTTTTCTTTTATACATTATGGACTGTGCAGGGCTAAGAAGGGATTTTTTATCTTGGTACAGGTAATCTGATTCTCAGGGAAGCCTGAAGTTTGCTCTGACCTCTCTTGCACTCCAAATTTAATAAGAGGAACGGATCACAGAACAACCCCACCCCCAAAATCTCCATTTCCCTGAAAACTGATTCGAAATAGAAACACCAAAAGCTTCTTCACCATTAATTTTCAAATTACCAGTGGAAGTGATTGGCACTACATAGATCATTTCTGAAAGGTCAGAACTGGTGCCCAGAATCCCAAGGACCAGGTTGGTCCAGGAGAATTTTAGGAATGGGGAAGCAGGTGGGATGAGGTGTGGATTAACAAACAGAGGTGACACGACCTACACAGCAGGTACCAAAAGACAAAAAGGTTGTTCAGAAGGAATGCCAGGAGCTGGAATCAGCTCCCAGGCTGTTTCCACCACACAGGGACAGCTTTTTTTTGGGACAGCAAAGTCAGGTGTTTGTTCTCACGTGGTGCATAGAGCAGCAACAATAATACTGAAGGATAAAACTGCTTGAACTGTAAGGATGTAACACCCTCTCCTAGGGCATCAACACTGGTAAATCCCTTGGAAAACGCTGCCTCCAGACCAGGACAACATGGAAGGGTTTGGGCAGCCCCAGAATGTGACTGCAGTTTGAGTCAATCCAGTTTGGGAATCCAGGCCCAGCCCTGACCCGACAACAAGGACAACACACACAAGAATTCCATTCCCCAAACGGCTCAGAACTCCCCTCCCCTGCTGTCCACAGTCTTTGGTAATCTCAGAGGGACACCACAAACAAGGGGGATTTATGCAACTCAACCCAAAAGTGAGAGAAACAACTGGAGAAGGGCAGAGAAACATTCACCTTCCAGGACAAGAGCAGTGTCCCGGCCCTGCTCCGTGGAGAGCACGCTCCCAGCTCGCGGGAACACGTGGAATTCCCTCCAGACCAACTGGAATATTGCACTTGGCAGGCTGCCTCCAGCTAACACGTGCTCTGGGAGCTCCAAACTGCCTGCCAGGAGGAGCAGCAGCCACTTCCCACATCCAGGGGGTCATTCCAACAGCACCGAGTCCCCTCTTCCATCATCCACCACCTCCTCTGCCCAGGGAGCCCCGGGTGGGAGCGGGAGCAGCACGGGTTGGTTTGGGAAGCTCCACTCCTGGCACCAGAGTCAGGCAGGAGGGGTGAGGCAGCTGCTTTGGAGGACTCAGCTCTGCAGGATCGGAGGAGGAATTTTGTTCAGGAGGTTTCCGAGGGACTCGAGAGGGCTCGTTAAAAAGGACCAAAAAAAAAAATTATAATAATAAAAAAAAAATCCAGGAACGACAGGAAACCCAAAACAAGGCAGGTGAGTTCTGAGCTGTGGGAGGGCACGAGGGCATTGCTCTTTCTACATGGTTTGAGATTTTTCCCCTGGCTGAGGGGGTTGAAGCACTCACTACCTCTCCATGTGCTGCAGCTTATGGAGCAGGATCTGTGGCAGGTCAAAGGTGGTGAAGCTGATTCCCACTGTGATGGGCCCCTTGAGGTTTTCCAGGGACTCGTTAAAAAGGACCAAAAAAAAAAAAAAAAAAAATAAAAAAAAAATCCAGGAACGACAGGAAACCCAAAACAAGGCAGGTGAGTTCTGAGCTGTGGGAGGGCATCGCTCTTTCTACACAGTTTGGGACTTTTCCCCTGGCTGAGGTGGTGGAAGCACTACCTCTCCACGTGCTGCAGCTTATGGAGCAGGATCTGTGGCAGGTCAAAGGTGTTGAAGCTGATTCCCACCGTGATGGGCCCTTTGAGGTTTCCCAGGGACTCGTTAAAAAGGACCAAAAAAAAAAAAAAAAAATAAATCCAGGAACGACAGGAAACCCAAAACAAGGCAGGTGAGTTCTGAGCTGCGGGAGAGCACGGGGGCATCGCTCTTTCTACACAGTTTGGGACTTTTCCCCTGGCTGAGGGGGTTCAAGCACTACCTCTCCTCACCGGCGCCGTGCTGCAGCTTGCGGAGCAGGATCTGCGTCAGGTCGAAGGTGGTGAAGCTGATTCCCACCGCGATGGGCCCTTTGACCCAGTTCATGCTGAGGCCTTTGTACAAGCCCCGGATGAGTCCCTCTTCCCTGACGATGTCCCTCATGGTGAGCAGGATGGAGCTGTAGGTGTGGCCCAGCACTCCCGCCGTCTGCATCCGCCGCCGCACCACGTCCAGCGGGTAGGAGGCCGACTGCCCGATGAGCCCTGCACAGGCTCCGAAGAGCAGCCTCTCTGGAGGGGAGGGCTGGGCCTTCCCGCTGTGATCTGGGAGGGAAAGAGCGGTAGAAGGTGGGAAACTGGGAAAAGGGAGTGCCCGGAGCCAGCGCTCCCGGGGTTTTGGCCCCCAGTCCTTCCCGCGCCCGGGAATTGCGGCTTCTTGGCACTTCTGCAAGACACAGTTTTCCTGCGGGTAAAGAGGCTCCCAAAGCTCCACAAGCCACTCTGCAGCTGGCTCCAAGGGCAGGGAAAGGATTTGCACCCCCTCAGTCCAAACACCTGGAGATGGCCCTAAAGCCACCCCCAAACCTTTACCTGCATCCCCCAATCCAAACACCTGGAGTTGGCCCCAAAGCCACCCCCAAACCTTTATCTGCACTCCCTAATTGCAACACCTGGAGTTGGCCCCAAAGCCTCCCAAAAACCTTTACTTGCACCCCATAATTGCAACACCTGGAGTTGGCCCCAAAGCCACCCCCAAACCTTTAC